AAGCACTGAAAATTGATCGAGCCAGTGCCAATTCGAGTGACTTTCCCGGTTATTGATCGCCTGGTTGCTGATCTGTTAGTTAAGCCAAAAAGTTGGATTGCAAATTTTTCTGTATATATTGGCATTCCACGAGGATAATGCACCCTACGCCAATGCTAGTGAAACGGCTGTAAACTACCTGTCAGGCTGACCACTCCTGTCAGTCTTCATTCCCTTGGATCTTTGGATAGACGTGTTCAAATTGGGCGACGCACTAGCTATGAGTTTCAGCAGAAGGGGGTTGATATTGAGTACGGTTCCTCCAAAGAGGTCGTGGACGTTTGGCTATTTGTTCACTTGAGGAAATATGTTCCACGTAAATCCATCGAGTAAATACTGAGATAAGGTTTAATCCTGACCGATGTTTGTCAACAACACCAGAACAGTCCAGCTGAGCAGCAAAGGAATCACAAGATTTTCTATGGCTAAAATAGGGATTCCATCTTACGGCGCGTCCGAGTGCACAAAGACTCAACAATGCACGACACCCTAGCTAGAAATTCTGGTGACCAGTCACGACGTCACTTGGAGTGTCAGATATTCGGTGGTTCATTTAAATAATAATCCGTGATATTTTCCTCCGCTTTGACATAATACCCAGCCAACGAGTCAATTGTTGCGCTGGTTTTCACGTGGAGAATGCAGTTTCTTAGTGGTTGCCGTCGGATGTGGATGAGTGAGCCTTAAGTCGTACGGCCGTTGTGCATCGGGTTCAGTTGCCCACCTTCGACATCTTTTACGTACCAAACTGTTTGACTTATAAACATTAGGCAAATCAGGCATTTCCACTGAGTTGTTATTGTGGTGATCGGATTTTTTTACTCATATAAAATGTAGTATGCCGTTACATGCCAAAAAATGATCGCAGTGAACTGGCTCTTGGCATCCAGAAGATAGGAACAGTGAGACCCAGTTCGTACTCGACGGAATGGTGTATCGAATCAGGGGATGATATGCATGCTGAGAGTTCTGATGTGCTGAAGCTATCAAAAGAACGTTTTTTGCTCACCCTCTTATTACGGATGCGAAAACTTTCAAATCTGTGTTCTAACTAGTCTGTTGCATTTTATTAGAGGAAGCCCTCCACCAAATCATCTTGGTTGTCGTTCCTTAATTCGCCTGCGGAACAACCAGCTAAAAGTTGGACCAAGAACTGCTGATCGGCAATGTGATTAGCTCTCATTTACACTGGATATAGCGCGAATCATCGTTCAATCGCAGAAACCAACTCACATAGTCACATATTGTTGACAGGCTCCTCGGGTGACGACGTATCAAAAGAACGTTTCAGTCATCATACAAAACCATTCTTTCTCTGATATACTCAGGTTACTGACTTAACGGTGATACTTCAGATGGGGCAGGCATGGGAGTTACACGTTCTCTTCCTGTAAATTCGCTTGAAAATGGAGATTTTTGTGGAATACGTGAACTCGCTTTGTACCATTTGCTTGGACTTGAGCAACTCCCAATGAACATCCAGACTAGTTCGACAAGACGCGTTTAAGGGAAGATGCGTGTTTGGTATTTTCTAATTAAGATGCATTTGAGAGGTTGGTTTCCAGTCCAGTAGTCTGTGACTGGTCAGTTGGCATTATGTAATAAAGTACTCCGCAGGGAAGGCCTTCTTCATTTTAGTTGGTGAGGTGTCCAGGATAAGGATCAAGATTCCGTGGCCACAACCCTCTTAGGATGAGGATGATCGGATCTTCCTTGGGGACTTTGAGGAGGTCGCGGATGCCGCAGGTTTGGCGACCGACCGGAGTAAGTTCGCAGCGCGGGAGATCCCTCAGAAGGAAGTTTCAATCAGCTTACAAAGCCATTCTTCCTCTTGTCTACTTATTCATCGCTTTAAGTATGAAGGTTTAATTGAGATTTCATCCAATCAGTGAAGCCAGGCTATACCACCAAGCTGAGAAGCGAGCATTTCATGAATCTTCAGGAGGAGTCAACCTTGCAACTTTTCGAAGACCAAACCTTATGGTTTGCGGATAATATGCATGTCGATACCCGCCATGTAGCTTAAACCTCCATGAATCCTGGTCCTCAGCAGCTGAAAATATGTTCATTGACAAATGAGTTGGAACATCTTCGGGACCGAATCAGGAGGCATCGTTTCGGAGAGGTTTGGTAAACAATGGGTGGGTTCATTGCTGGGCAAAGTTTCGCGGGTTTTTTGTCCTATCCTGTTAGTGGGATCACCATCCAATTAGCTCCTCCTCAAGGACAACCTTAAATTTCCGCCCAATTACAGCGGACCTGATGAAAACTTGTTCATATTCTACTCCGACCACGGTGGGGCTTCGGGTATTTACTTTCCAGGTGCAGCAGTAAGTTTTGTTAATTTGGGTAACCAATTTTTCAGTTTCCAAATTTTCTATGGCGAGTTAAATTGTGAGCGGTTTAGGGAGGGTTAGATAAACATATTTTGGTGCACGCTATTCTTTTACGAAGTCCAAGGTCGTTCGACTCACATGATTTCGCGGTCGATCCACTCAGACTGCTGAGCAAACGCACACACTACTAACAAAGAAGCTGATCATATTAGGTCACTCACGAGGCGTAGATGATACAAAGAACACGTCAGCCGAATTCTTCCTGACAAGACAACATACTGCTTTTCGCTTCTAGAGCGACAGCACGAATCTTAATAATATGAAGTTTTTGTATTTATATATGAGAAACCAGTCTGTGATGAAAAGCCGAGAAGCAATGTACAACTGTTCTATCCCTATTGAGAATCATCAGTGGTGCGCTTGATAGATGCAACGTGTAACCGTTCGGCCAATACTGACCAACCAACAGCCTGATTTATCCGCACTATGTCTGGACATAACGCCACCCATTCTTCAATCGAGAGATCCACATCACTGATGACTGACACATCGAGTGACAACTCCTCAAATGAAAAATCCATTCGTGGTGTAATCTATTGTTCTGAACAACTTACAGTCTGTTGGAAGTGTTCATTTCAACATAAATCTACTTAAGTTTTTCGAGAGGGGATTAGGGCTGAAATAATCTCCATAGATGGGGACATATGACTAAAAAAGTCCGCGAAATTGGCAGTCGGACTGATCTGAAAATCCGTCGTCTTTCAAACCGAACATTCTTTAGTCCGATTTGTGACTGCAAGCTTATTCACTCTAACGTTGGTCCCTGCGTGCTCTTTTAAAGGAAGTATACATTACTGTCAACACTGTAGCTGGTCAACACTACAACGGACATGGCTTTAAGCCCCGGGAAATCTCGATCTCGTGAGAATTTTCCTTCCTGTATTATGAGAGCTGTGCGGCTTGGAGTTGAACGACACCCTCGCATACATATATTCGAAAAGAATGTACAATTGTGCTGTACGTGGATGCTTGCCGCTCCCGCTCTATGTTTTGCGGTGTTCTTCCTTCAAAAGTGGGAAGTTATTAGCGTAATTTTTTTAGCTTATTGTCATGCAGGTCCTGTGAAAAAGCACCCAGAATGTACTTCGCATATGGTTAAAAATACTGCACTAGAGAGTACAACAAAACAAATTTCCGAGCTTACTTCATTCTCGTTCTCTTCGCAATCGTTGTATGGAAGTAGCCTCTGATTTTACACAAGAAGCGTTTCGCCGATGAGAGCACACAATCCAGCCTTTATCGAATAACGTAGCTTCCACTGGTGAACTAGTTTCATATGGGTAGTTTAAATCATTGTGTAACCGGTACAACCATTGTGATGATTTGGTGTCCCTTTGCAGCGACGACCAATGCCAAGTGGATAACTTCTTTGGAAATTTTAAATGGCTCGTGGGTCTTTTATAAGAAGTACGCTTGCGATGTGTTTACCTTTGACCGTTATTGTCTGTGGTTTCTTCTGAATGGGTTTACCCTAGAAAAAATAACAGATTGTACATTTACATACTGATTTGATTTTAACGGGCTGATCCAACCAAATCTACGGAATTGTATCGTTTATGAGAGTTTTTGCAAGTTCCGCTCAGTCTTAGCGAGAATCACGGACTGTGCCTACGTGACGCGCCGCAAGGAGTATGAAAACCATGATGTCCTCTCAAGAAGTAGTCAGCGACCTTCAGTGTGGTGTATTAGTTCCAGACTTCTTGAAGCTTAATTATTTTTGTGAGTCGCACGAAGGGTTCGTCCATAATTTACCTCACTATTTCACAGATCATTGATATTTGCCTAATAATTCTTTTGTCTGAACCCCTGAACCTGCAGTCTGTGTGACAACATGAGCTGAGGAGCTAAGGTCATTTTTGTGTGACAAGGATATCGATGCCTGTCTAGCGAAAGAATACGCGTATGTCTGATTACGGATTCGGAATACGTGAATATTAACAAAACTATTGAAGACAAGCCTGTCAGTTGTAGTCTATTTGATTTTCTGAGCCATTTATATTTTGTTTTCAGGAGGATTTATGGCAATTTAGACATCACGACCATCCGGTTGCCCCAGAGCGAGCCTTCCTCGAGTGATGTCGCTTCGGCTGCTGAAACAGTTTCATATTTAATCTTAAATGGATCGTTGGTCTTTTATAAAAAGTCCACTACAACCCATCAAACAACTGGTTTAATGATTGTCGCGTAACTACCTTTGACCGTTCTCGTCAGTGGTCTCTTTCCAGGCAGATTTACCTTAAAAAACAGGTTATACATTCACACACTCATTTGATTTTGACGTCTGTGAGGGTGTTGGTAAGGTCCGCCCAGTCAGGTTTTAATTCTTGATTAAGTTTTAGGGAAATTCAAGGACTGCGTATACCTGATTCGCCGCAAGAAGCACGAAAACCATTATGTTCTGTCAATGAAATGTCAGTGACCTCCTGTTTAGTGTGTTAGTTCTAGACGTGTTCACCTTCGTTTTTTCCGTGTCACAGTATCGGTTTATTGATAATTTACCTCGTTATTTCACACATCTTTGATATTGGCCTATACCGTATGTTGTCTGAAACCCTAAACCTGCAGTCTACGTGACAACATCAGCCAACGAAGATGACAAGGACATCGTTGATTGTCTAACGGACGGATACTCGTATGTCTGGCTTTTAGATTCGGAATACGTAAGTTTTAACAGAACGGTTGTAGAAAAGCCTGTCGGTTGTACATGAGTAATCCGGTGGCACTTAGCAGCCCGTGGTAGTCCATTTGGTTTTCAAAATCTTTTTTTTTTGTTTTTAAGCATGAAGAGAAGTTATGGCGATTGAGCCATCACGACCATCCGGTGGCCCCAGAGTGATCAAACAATTTGTTGGATGTCTGAACTTTCTCACTAACTTCCCAATCAGGTTCGCCTGTGAACTTGCAGAGATTATTGAATGAGTCAGACAAAAGGCCGGGTGTTATCGCTTGATTTCCACTGTGACTGGTTAAAGAAGCTGCAAATAATGTCCTTGAATTGATGTTATTGTAGTTCTTGTTATCATTTTCGTTTCAGGCCGCCTGAGCAATTGTCTGAAGCTGTAGGCGCATCAGACTGATTGTAGTAGACGGGCACCAGAACATTTTCCATCAGTCCGATTCTCTTTTTTTGAGACAGGCATCAGTGTTGAACACGGAAGTTGAGAATGATGATGATGATGAATTTGTTGGTGGATCGCTTGAGACCCTTCATCTCAATACGTCTGCCGAAATGAATCAATATGTCAGTGGGGTTCATGCTGCCAGTTTCTATTCAGGTTGTCTGACTGGGTCTTGGAAGTGTAGGTACTCGGGTGTATGCTGTAGGCTAGCCCTAAATTTTGCTTCCTGTTCCATTATTCCATTCTCCACTACTAATAAGTTCGAATGCTTTTATGGCGGTGAATCCTCTGTTATAGCTGTCGATGTTGATGATAACGGTGATCATTACCATAGCGCGTCAAATAATTAAAATTGGTTGTATATGCCTGGTGTCCTGTAACAGTGGAGTGCTCACTATTTTACCAGTAGTATGTATCGTTCCCTACCGCTGTTATTTTATCTCTAGTGATGGTTTCACCGTTTTCGCTACATTGGATCCTTCCTAAGCTTAAGCTGATCTGCCTGCTGCACATAGCTCCCCTTTTCATTATCCCCACCCGCGTGGAGAAAAACATAAAAAACCGGACACTGTAACAACAATACGATGAAGTGAAAAAGAGGACAAAAATAGTCACGGGATGAAATGGGTGGAATTTTTGAGTCAAAAACGTACGGAGAGATCACCTGTGAATAGTCATACTGTTATGAAAATGAGTTCATTTATCGAGATGACAGTTGTATTTCGTTACCTGTGAAAGGTGACGGTCAATGTAGAAAATACTTGATTAGGAACTTCAGGTTCGACAGACGAGGTTCAGCAAGGTTGCTAGTTCAGGCATCTAGATATTCAAGCCTAGCCAGTGTCTCTTTTCTGAAAACCAAGCAATGGCGCTGGTACCTTATGCTATACACCTTTCTGCGCTTCGGTACAAACGAAAGTCACATCTATGTGAATCATTCGCAAATAACTCAGAGGTTTAGATTTAGACCATGACTGAAACTTCCATCTGAAAATTTAACTCCCGAGGGACCAGGCAAACCACGTGATGTGGTTCTCCCTGATTGAACGACGAGTGACGCTGTGTGCTGTCTAAGTGAAAGCTAATCACACTGCTGATCAGTCCCTTTTCACTGAACGTTTAGTAATGCCCAACTGGAGTGATATGCGCACTACTGCTGACTCCAATAAAGATCAGACATCTATAAAATGCTTCTCGGTTTTTCAGCATATATTTGCCTTCATCGAAAGGCACAATATCCATTCAAATGAGAAGGTTCTGCTAGGCTTCAAAAAACGCAGCTGTACAATAACAGTGATTCAACCAAGGTTACATTTGAAATCTTCGTCGACCTGAAGGAGCAAACTTAGGTCATATTACTGGTGATTAGGTGGACATCAGTGCTATACTCTGGTGTTTGTAAAACAACTTTCGGAATGGATGTTCATGGTCAACCGGATCATTACACACTAACGCGTGAATACCAAAGTGCAAAACTACGGTCGCTTCCTTATTGTATGGAGCAAAATACTATCTTAGTTGATAATGCACTGATCAGCGTCCGTGTATTGTTTATTTCAAGCGACAGGAAGTCTCGCTTTTGGAAAATTCCAAGCTCATTATGATCTGCTGATGCATTGGAATGACAGCGCAACAGAAGTTTGTGTTCAGGTCAATATTCGATATTTGTAATAGTCTAATG